TATTTATTTTAGCCATGTTTATGTAGTGTATAGTAGAGGGGGAGACCCTTTGAGAGCTGTATTCAACAAAATTTCATTTTAATGTATGCCGATTGGTCTACATTCAAAGTGACAATAAAGTTATCCTGTAATTCTGTATCGGTACCTACCTGTGATCCTCCTTCCTAACAGCAGAACCGTTGACTTCCAAAGATGATCTCTTGTCCTGTATTAAGCAGGAGGAATCTCCCGGTCCTGGGAAGTGGAATCTGAAGAGATCCCTGCCACTCTTGGTTAGGGTGTGTCTGGTCGAATGATCGCAGGCCTCCCAAGAGAAGCCATAATGCCATCTCATCTGACGTTGATAACATCACACTTCCTGGCATGGTCGACTGGGGGATTCTGGGAATTGAAGTCCTCTTCAAAGCATGCTGGTGGGGGAATTCTGGGAGTTGAAGTCCGCCATTTGTAAAGCATGAGGACTGGAGAAATCTGGGAATTGGTCCACCTATCTTCAAGTGCCCAAGGCTGAGTAACAGGCCTTCAAAACATTTGCCCCCCTCTTTTGTCTTCTTCCAATGACAACCTCAAACATTAACTCTCCTTCGCTGCAAAATCTGTCTATTTGATTCAGATTCTTTGGGCTGGGGGGCGTGGGGGTGGCTTCCAATGATTCGGCTCCAGCTTCTACCTCTGTTTTAACGGAATTATTTCCCCACCCACACCATTCTCCTCTCTTTCCAGACGAGAGCACCAGAATCAAAAGCGAGGAACAGAAGCCCCAATAAAGTTTGAAACGAGCCTTGCCTGCCCAGCTCCCTGTAGCATCCAGAGACAAAATCTTCCAGACCCCCAGATGCTGCCAGAGGCAAAGCTGCCCTCAGTCATCCTGCTGCTCCTACCCCTCCCCAAAAGCCACCAGAGAAGCCACCCCACCCCAGCAAGAGAAGCTGCCCCGAACCCAAGGCCACCCTGCCAGCAACCTGCTTGAAGGCCAGCTGAGATGCTTCAAGGGTCTGGATGAGTTTTCCTTGCCCCCGAGGATCCCCACTGGAGCGGAAGTGTATGGGGAAGGGGTCAGGCCAGGGACTGAGTCCGGTGTCCCTCAGGTCCCTGAGCCCTACCTGTGCCCGGAGAATAGCAACAGCTTCAGCGATGTGGCCGTCTCTGAGACAGCTGGCTGGTTGCATGCCTGCTCCCTCTGCCCAAAGAGTTTCCAGCTCAAGACCAGCCTGCTGATCCACCAGAAGACCCACACCATGGTGAAGAGTAACAGCCCCTTTGTGTGCTCCAAGTGCGGCTGCAGCTTCAGCCACCAGACCATCCATGCCAACTGGCCACACTAGTGCTCGGAGTGCCACAAAGCCTTCAACCACAAGTCCAGCCTGGTGGCCCACCAGAAGACGCACCGCGAGCGGCCGCGCCCCTTCCAGTGTCCCCAGTGCAGCAAGACCTTCATCCGGAAACAGCACCTGGATGACCACACCCACACCCACACAGGGGAAAAGCCCTACCAGTGTCCCGAGTGTGAGAAGTGTTTCACAGAGAAGTCCAAGCTGACCAACCACTACCGGATCCACACCAGGGAGCGGCCCTACCGCTGTGGGCAATGTGACAAGCACTTCGTGCGCACCCACCACCTGGTCAAGCACCAAAGCAGCATCCACCAAGCCGGGGCTAAGCTGTACTCCTGTCACAAGTGTGGACAGTTTCGGCCACGCCCAGGCCTTCCTCAGCCACCAGGCCAGCCACGCCAACAGCGAGAGGCGCCACTGCTGCACTGAGTGCAAGACCTTCACCTGCCAGAAGTACCTGCTGGAACACCAGTGCATGCACATGGGAGAGAACCCGTACGCCTGCCCACACTGCAGCAAGCACTTTCAATACAAGCAGTCATTAAAGCAGCATCTACGCATGCACCAGGAGCAGCCGCCGCCATGCCAAGCTTGCCAGTCGCCAACCCGCTGGAGAAAGACCCTCTCTTTGAGGCGAACCTACCCAGTGGGACCTGAAGCTGGAACACAAATGGTCTTTTGTGCCAAATGAACCGCTGGGCTAGAATTGACCCACTGGTGGGCCGAGTTCCTCCCCACCTTCCGTGGGGGCAGCTCCAATGCTTCTTCTCTCCCCATGGAGAGGCTTCCTTCTTGCTTGCCTGATCAGGACTGTGTGAGTCCTGTTGAATAAGCCCAGCTCCCAGCACTCAGAACACGCCAGCTGTCTTGAAATATTTCTTCGATGGAGAGACAGCTGCCAAAAGACACTCGTCATGCTGCACTGCAGTCCAAGGTGCTGCGAGTCCTGGCCAAGCTGGGAAATAAAAATCGCGCCTAAAATGTGATCATGTCCACTTACCTTCTTGGCTCCATTACCCAGTCCAGCACTGAAGGCCGGCCTGCTGGAGTCAAAAGGGTGCGCAGCTGCACCCCAAGGATGTGGTTCCCTCACCTCCAGGGAGAAAGACGCAGGCCCCAAGGTTGCTGCGCATGGCTGTGGTTTTCCGCCCGCACTCTCAACGCACTTTGCTAGACAATCAGAGGAGCGTTTGGGTGCAGTGGGTACGAAAGACAGCCCAAGTTGGAATGGACTGTCCCGCACCGCCTGCGTCTCTTCTCCGGAGGGCCACGCGGGGCAGCTGTCCGTGGCCAAACTTCAGAACAGTTCCACCTTCTCAGTCCACTCCTCAGAGATACCCTTCCTTATTTCGCTGCTGTCAATCAAGTTGCAGTGTCAAACGCCTGGTTTACCACTTTTCGGCCAGTGTCAATCTATGCCAAAAAGCTCTTTTGCCAAAGGCTCGGCTGTGGCTTTCCTCGTGGTATGTTTTATCATTGAGGCTGACAGGCTCCCAGTTCTTCTGCCCTCTCTGCCTGTTCAGACACCGGCATGAAATCTCGAGTTTGCCTTGTCGCTCCAAATTCTTTTTGTCACCAAGAGGATGTAGCCTTCACATCACTCTCTCCAGCCCTGAAAATGAACCCCCTCCCCTCCCCACAAAAAGAGGACTCAGAAAGCAACCCTAAAACCATGGCCATAAGCAGAGACCTCCAGCCCGCTTCCACACCAGGTTCTCACTACCTTAAATCCAACTGTATTACAGGTAGTCCTTGATTTACAACCGGACTACCTGTATTACTCTTTAATACAGGTAGTCTTCAAGTTCATTTCGTGACCATTCAAAGTTACAAAGGTGTGAGAGAAGTGACTTATTACCGTTTTTCACAAATACAACTGTTGCAGCATTCCCAGGGTCGCGTGATTCAAAATGTAGGCACTTGCAAACTGGTGTGTACTTAAACTTATTAACAGTTGCAGTGTCTCTTGGTCCTTTTGTGACCTTCCGACAAGCAAAATCAATGGGGAAGCCAGATTCACTTAACAACCGTGTGACTAACTTAGCAACTGCAGTGATTTACTTAACGACTGTGGCAAGAAAGTTCGTAAAATGGGGGGAAATGTAAACAAGGTGAAAAGGCTGCATCCCCCTAGTGCAGGGGTATCAAACTGAAGGCCCACGGGCTGGATCCAGCCTGTGGGGAGCTTAGATCTGGCCCGTGGGGGCCATCCTGGAAACAGCAAAGGACCTGCCCATGGTGCCTGTGTCAGCAAAAATGGAGCTCGGGAGGGCCACCCGCGGCCCTCCCGAGCTCCATTTTCGCTGGCAGAGGGTTGCAGGAAGTTGTCGCAGCTGAAAATGGGAGCTCGGGAGTGTTTTCGCTGGCAGAGTGCTTGGACCACCACAGGTACCCCCAACACGAGTGACAGTGAGCTGGCCACACCCGACCATGCCCACAACCCTTATGTGGCCCTCAATGAAATAGAGTTTGACGCCCCTGCCCTAGTGGCATCTTGCAAAGTGGTAAGTGGTTCCAAAGTTGCATGCAAGTAAGTTGGATTGTTCATTCGATACTCTGGAATGAAATGTTATCGGCCCCAGTTCTCGCCTCATTCCAAGGCGCCACAACTGTGTGTAGACAGTACATGAGGCAGGAGCGGGGGAGAGAGAGCAATTGCTAGCAAGCCTATCCCTGCTCCATTCTATGTTGGCCAAAACACTGATGCATGGCTTCCTAAGGCCCAAATACAAATAGGTAGTTCTTGACTAACGAGTCACTTAGAAGCCATTTGGAGTCACAACTAGCCTTGAAAAGGGGGCTTACAACTCGGATCCAAAGTTCTGGCAATTGTCCTCTTGTATGGTCACATTATCACGTCAGGCCATTAGCAATATGGCCGCATTTGCAGAATCTCACAGACAGATGACTGCGTTCGGCAAAGGTTTTGTTGAACACTGGTACTTAATTTCTGGCTTTTCAGCAAAACAGAGCCGTAGTGAATGAGGGATTCACTTATTGACTGCGGTGATACGCCGTACTGAGTTGACCAAATAAATTGTACTATGTGTGATACCAAACTGGCATTGTGCATCCATTTCCCCATACAAGGCAGTTAGGTCTTCCTACAAAATCTTTTTTCAATCCTTTTGGCTTTTCCTGATACAACTCACACAGCTTCCAGTACATCACAAACACATACATACACACACACACACACATTCTTTGACTATAACCAATGGGGAAAATATAAGGAGATCATTTGGTCTAGTGGTTAAGGCACTAGGTTAGGAAGCAGGAAACAGTGAGTTCTAGTTCTGCCTTAGGCATGAAATCTGGCCAGGTGACTTTGGGCCAATCCTGGTGATTACCCGTATCACTTTTATGGTAATTGGCCAAAGTCACCCAACCAGCTTTCACATCTAAGGTGGGACTAGAACCATCTCCTGGTGATTGGCCCAAAGTCACCCAATCAGCTTTTATGCCTAAGGTGGGACTACAATTTACTGTCTCCTGGTTTCTTGGCCAGTACCTTTGCACAATTATGTGCAAACTATTAAAACGATTATTTTAACGGAAGACCAATATGTAAGCAATCCTGGTTTAGGGACCACAATCAGGACCAACAACTCGGTCACGAAGTAAAGCAGTCCATAAGTGGGGTGTGGAGAATCACAATTTTACTTTTTCCATTGATATGCAATTTAACTTATAATTCTTCCCTTCATACACAACTTTAGCCTTCAATGAACCAAGCTACATTTTTTTCATGTTTTAAAACATCTTTATTTCTAAATAAATCAATTTTGTCCTCCAATGAACCAAAGGTCATTTCCAATATTTTAAAAATATCTTTGATCTAACATGTATTATTAAGTGCCATCATGTTGTGTTACAATGCAAAAATAATACAAAAATCAGCATTTACAGTTACAGTAGTGTACCTGTAAACATCAACAGAAATCCCCTTCCAAAGATTAGTCTTTTTGCTGTGTTTTTTGAAATGTCGGATACCAAGGCCGAGAAGGCTAATGAACCGAGCATTTTCTGGTTTCTCCTGTTTTTCAGGATGGGGAGGAAGGAAGAGGTGAGCAAGAAATAACTGTCCGTAAAGAATTCACTAAGTTTTCTTTGCACATTTTTTTCTTCATCTCATCTATTTCCTTAAAACACATGCATTTCCGACATAGCTTTCCAAAACTGTTCTACATTCGGAACCATAGTTCTTAATTTTTGCAACATTTCATTAACACGAGAAAACACCAATATTTTCACACTGAACTTCCTGGGCTCCCGATGTAACTTTCCAAAATGTTCTACATTTCGATTCATACTTCCTAATTTTTGTAACATTTCATTAACACGAGAAAACACTGATCGACATTTTCACACAAACTTCCTGGGCTCCTGATGTAACTTTCCAAAATGTTCTACAATGGGATCCATACTCCCTAATTTTCATAACGTTTCATTAATATCTGAGAAAACACCAGTCAATATTTTCACACTGAACTTCGTGGGCTCCCGATGTAGCTTTCCAAAATGTTCTACATTCGGATTCATACTTCCTAATTTTCGTAACATTTCATTAAACATCTGAGAAAATATTTTCAGACTGAACTTCCTGGCTTCCCAGTGTAATTTTCCAAACATTTTACATTTAGATCCATACTTCCTAATTTTCATACCGTTTTGCTAACATCCGAGAAAAACGCCAGTTGATAGTTTCACACTGAACTTCCTGAACTTAAGTCTAGAATTTTATTTCTTCCTCCTCTTCCGCAATGCCTTGGGCCTCCAATTCTTCTTTCAATTCGATCAATTCTTCGTTGGAAAGCTCTCCCTCAGGGTAGGCAATCCATTTTTTCACATCTTCTGCGTCTGCCTCTAAACTGAGGGCTCGGGTGAGCGTCAAAATGTTGTGACTTATTTCCTCCAAATCTTTGTTCGGGTCAAAGCCTACAAAATTATGGACAAGGAGAGCAAAACGTTTTAAGCACCGTTCCCAAATCCCTTGCATGCATTTCAAGCTGATGTCCTTCCAGGCCGTCGCGATGTTTTCAATACAGTGGCTGATATCGTATGCTTTCCAAAACTCGTGCAAGATCACCCCATTGTCCTCCATTGCGGCGACAGCTGTGGCCAGCGTGGCCCGTAAATAGCATGCTTTGAAGGTCGAGACAGCTCCCTGATCCATGGGCTGCAGGAAAGGGCTGGTGTTTTTTGGTAGATAAACAACCTTCACGTCTGGATGGACATCGTCCAGGTGCAGGGGATATCCAGGGGCGTTGTTGAGGAGCAGAAGAATTCTAAAAGGGATTCTGTTTTGAAAACAATATTCCTGCACTTGAGGGATGAAACAATTCACAAACCAGTCCTCAAAGAAGACTTGGGTCATCCAAGCCTTCTGATCAGATTGATAATAAACGGGCAGGGTCTCCTGGCTGATATTTTCGCACACGGGAGGATCCTCCGATTTGTGGATCAGAAATGGCTTCAGCTTGAATCCGGCAACATTTCCACCCAACAGCAAAGTGATCCTGTCCTTAAAAGCTTTGTATCCAGGCATAGCTTGGGCCTCTTGGTGAAGGTAGGTCCATTCAGGCATTTTTTCCCAGAATAACCTGGTTTTGTCCACATTGAATATCTGTTCAGGCAAATAATTCCCTTCTGTGATGAGATCGTCGAAGTCATCAAGGAAGCGTTGGGCTACTATTTTGTTGGCTCCCGCAGCTTCGCCTGGCGGGTGCACAGTGTGGTAATTAAACCTTCGCTGGAACCGCATGAACCAGCCGCGGCTGGCCGTGAACGTTTCAGTGCATTCCTCGCCCGCTCGTTCCTTCAGGGTGGCAAAAATGCTGCGCGCCTTGGCCTGAATGAGAGGGAGGCTGATGGGAATCCTTTTCTGGATCTGATCCTCGATCCAAAGCATCAGGAGTTTCTCAGTTTCGTGGATGAGGCCTTTGCGTTGCCTGGTGATAATGGCTTTTGTCCCCGGTGATCCTTTCATGGCCTCCCTGATCCGCTCCTTGTTCTTTAAAATGGTGGAGATGGTGGAATGGGCCAGGCCTTCTTCTTGAGCGATGATGTTCACTTTCTTCCCAGCGTTGTAGGCTTTGATGATCTTCATCTTCAAATTCAGACTGATGGCCTTCCTGTGCTTCTTGCTGCGCTCTTCGGAGGAACCGTGGCCCTTTCTCTTCCCCTTTGAGGACATGGCAAGCGAAAATAAGAGTCTGTTGCAAAATACTGTAGACACAGAGAGAGAGAAATGAGAGATAATTTAAAAAATAGTTTAACTGTTTGAGAACAATTTAACTTCAATGTTTTAGGTGGGAGAAGCGCAAATATATATTTTCCTGATTTGGTAACAATTTCACTTCTTCAATCAAAGTATGTAAATCAGGTGTCCAACCTTGGCAACTTTTAAGACCTGTGGACTTCAACTCCCAGAATTCCCCAGACAACAAATATATGGATCATCACGACAATTGGGAGCACTGTGGCTCGCGTGGTTAGTATGCTAGGTTGGAGGTCAGCAAGCACGCATTTGAGACCTGGTGCTCTAGGGCGGGGTGAGTTCCCATCCTTCCCTTCAGCTCCTGTCGGCCTCCAAGTAGGCATCTCCCCAGGCAACAGTGATGTCACCGGCTAATCCGGTCAATACAGACGCGCCTCGGTGCTGCTGACACAAGCATGATGCAACCAGGCCAATCAATCTAGACTTCTCCCTCGAAGCACAAATGACCAGGCTTAAATTATCATATTATGCAAAGATTCTGCTTGCTTGGGGGTAGTCCATAAGGGTGGGAAATGCAGAAGGAAAGAAGAGAGAAGGACAACCAACACAAGGTGAACAAACTCAGAACAGTCATGGTTGCATTACTGCAACAGTTGAAGGGCCAAATTATGCTGGAGAAGGCATAATTAATGGCCATTAATGGCCAACAGTACCGTTATTAACGGTCATTAATGACCGATATTAATGGCCAACACTACCTTGACGGCACACATTCAAGTAATCAAATCAAGGATAAATTGATTCCTCCAAGCACAATGGTTTGTCAAGTTGCCACTGAGCCCAGTACAGGTAATCCTCAACTTAACCGTTTGTTTAGTGACCGTTTGAAGTTATAATGGCACTCAAAGAAGTGACTTATGCCTATTTTTCAAACTTACGAGTGTTGCAGCACCCCTGTGGTCACATGATCAAAATTTGGTAATTGCCATGTATTTATGACAGTTGCAGCATCCTGGGGTCAAGTGATCGCCTCTGGCGACCTACTGACAAGCAAAAGGGGAAGCCAGATTCACTGTTACCAATTTAACAACTGTGATGATTCACAAAAAACTGTGGGGAAAGGGCGTAAAATGGGGCAAAACTCCCTTAAGTGTGAGCAATGGAAATGTTGGACTCATATTGTGGTCGTAATTCAAGGACGAATTGAAGCAGATTCTACCCTCCCCAACCTCTGCTCCCTGACATTCTTGACCAGGACTTGTGGGTTTCGTAGCCTATACCATGACAAGGTGGGATTACTGAGGTTAATTCAGTGGGAAGGCCACATCTCAACAAAGAAACTACCGTCACATTCAAAAGGGACATCAGATGAACCCAAAATTCTCCTCTTACCAGAGCTAGGGCCTTCCCCAAAGAATGAGTCCTGAGCACATTGGTCTTCCTGAAGTCCACAGAGATGTTCCTCAGAAATGGTAATGGTCTGATATTCTATCAAGAAAGAAAGAAAGGGAGGCGGGGTAGAGAGAGAAAGAAAGAAAAGGAAGGATGGAAGGAAGGAAGAAAGGGAGGAGAGAGAGGGAAAGAAAAGGAAAGGAAAGGAAAGAAGGAAAAAGAAAAGAAAGAAAAGAGAAGGAAAGAAAGGGATGGAAGGAAGAGGAAAGGAAGAAACAGAAGGAAAGAAAAAGGGAAGGAAGAAAAAGAAAGAAAGATGGAAGGAAGAAAGAGGGAGGGAGGGAGGGAGGGAGGGAAGAAAGGAAGGAAGGAAGACAAAACAAACAAACAAACAAATAAAGGCTTTCCAATTTATTACCTTGATGAAATGGACAATCTCTGAAAAACCAATACCCGTGGAGACTGAGGATTGTTGAGAGGTTGACCCAAACATACAGTGAAGACAGGAAGAGGTCTGGGGATCTTAGATCAGCTTAATATAATGAACAATTGTGGGGTCCTTGACGGTCTCTGAGCTTGGTGGTTTTCTTCTGGACATTTCATTACCCAACTAGGTATCATCAGTGTAAGAAGGGAGTGGGATTTCCTCTCTAACCTCACTCCCTCCTAGCACTGATAATGTTCCCTAGTTGGGTCATGAAACGTCTGCAAACAACCAATCTCAGAGAGCACCAAGGACCACCCAGCCCTCCTCCTCCTCTGCTAACCCCACTACCTACAGCACTGATGATGTTGCCTAGTTGGGTCATGAAACATCTGCCAGACAACCACCAAGCTCAGAGAGCACCAAGGACCCCACCATTCATCCCTGAGCTTCAACTATTATTCTACTGATAACAACAAGGATAAAAATGAATATCTAGATAGCACAGCCTAGTAGGACTTCAAACATATGAGTTAAAAAGAAGACCCAGATTGTTGGGGGCAATATGCAGACTCTGAAAACCGCTTCGCGCACATGCACAGAGCTCAAAGACCACCCTCTGTATCAACGCTGGTGAGCTGTGCTGTTTTTTAGCTTGGCTAAGGCGCAGCAATCCACTTTGCTGTGCAAATCAGCTGAGCTAAAAAAACAAAGGGAATATAGGAGAGGTAACGGCGGGGGCAGGCCCAGCCAGAGGTGGTATTTGCCAGTTCTCTGAACTACTCAAAATTTCCATAACCAGTACACCAAAATCGGTTCCACCTGGCTGAATACCACCTCTGGCTGTAAAGCACTGTGAAGCGGTATATAAGTGCAATATAGTTTACAACATAAAGGAGTACTTACCCTCACTAGGATCGTACTGCATGTGCTCTCTGTGGGATTCCCCGGGGCCCAAGCACACCTCCTCCATCTCCTCTTTAATCCCTGAGGGTATGTCTAGATACTCCACTGAAGAACCTGGACACAGAAGAGAGGAAAACAGGGGCGTTGCTCTTCTCTTAACATCAAGGAAACTCATGGATTGGAAGAGGCGCGCAGAAACAGAATCGAGAAGGCAGGACAGAAGGACGCTGCCTGTGGCATTCAGGTCGAGAAGATGGTTGGCAACAAGGTGAGATCAACTGAAAGTTGTTGGGACAGAGCTGGAGAAGGGCCCATTGAAACCAGGTTGACGTATTTGGTCTAGGACAGGGGTGTCAAACTCGATTTCACTGAGGGCCGCATCAGGGTAGTGTTTGACCTTGGGGAGCCGGGATGGGCATGGCCAGCTCGATGACACTTGGGTCAGGGGTGCTTGTGGTGGGCCTGAGCACTGTGCCAGCGAAAATGGGCTCCCGAACTCCGTTTTTGGTTGCGACAGCCTCCTGCAACCCTCTGCCAGCAAAAATGGACCTCGGGAGCAGATAAAGCACAAGTGGATTTAACGATGGTTATGCAAGGAATTCAAGAACTTAAAATGAGTATTGAACAAAGAACGGAGAGTATTGAACAAAGAATTGGGAAGACTGATGAAAAAATCGAAAATATTCAACAAATGATGGTGAAATATGATGAGAGACTCCAAAAAATTGAAGAGAAAGATAAACAAAGAGACAATTGGAAATATCGATACTAGATTAACAATGGTTGAACAAGACAAAAGTGGGATGTTGAAGTGGGAGATGGAGAGGTCAGAATTTTATCTCAGATTCCAAAATATAGAGGAAGAAAAAGGACAAAATTTGGCTGCAGTAATGATAGAAATCTTGGCTGGAGCTCTGGGAATAACAGAGGAAAAGATGAT